GAAGTATGAGCGACGAGTCCATATAAACTTCACTCTTCCTGGAACATCCTGTTGCAGTAAATGCTGTCCTCTGAATTCTGTCTCATTTACTTCCAGTCTTGAATTTAGCCTTCCTCGTTCAGTGTACGCGCAGCGGCAGTTTGCAGAAAATACCGTCGTGAGTCGGTCCGCCTTCGTGTCGTTGTCTGGAGTGCGCGCGTGCGTACGTGCGCTTCAAGACGGAGGAATTTTCAAGGGCACTGTAAAGCACTCAATTTTACGTTGTCGCGCAAATCGCGCGTGCCAAGCCAGAAGTCGGCTCCGCCGCCGCCAGCGGCGTTGGCGGCAGGGCTGGCGCGCGTACTGTTGGCGCGACGTCCGCCAGGGGGGGGGTGTTTATTCAATATTACAGTACGGCAGCTAATGGCCTTCAGTCGCATGACTCGGATGATGCATACTCGACTTTGACAAGGTCACCGCTTGATTTCTGCCTCCAGCACAGGGGAATCAAGTCGTGCGAGTGATTTAATCTCACGGGCTCACCCATCTGGTGGATGAGATACGAACATTTGCAGGCCCCTTTTATGATTGTGTGCGGGGTTCTAAAATTGTGCAGTTAAGTAGTAATAAGTTAGACACGACATTGATGAAGTTTTTGCGATCGTAAATGTACAATATTTCAGAATTATGAGGGGTTTAACTAGTAAGAAATGAAAAAAGACTGTTCGAGTTCCTTCGGGTAAGGAATCTTACGGGGTTATTCTGTAGTAGCTGATAGATTTCAGTTCGAATATTCATATCAACATTGAGACCGAACCTAAGAAGCTTTTTCCTGAAGGATTTACTCCAAGGTCGCGCGCCTATTTTCCCCAAAAGTAAACAAGTCAGAAAGGGTATTACTACTTAAGTTTGTCGCATTTCATGTCTGGTGCGATTTCGTTGCAGTTGGTGGAGAAGGACATACCGAATAACTGTAACACTGGGTGACTTTCTGAGTGTTAGAGGGCTATTTGTACGAGAAGTTCGCGGTTGTCCTATGGTAGGTTTGCCAAAAGAGAGAAATTTGAATCGAGCGATAGAACGGAACGCCCCACTGCATATGTATAAGTAGTTACTATTTCGCTTCCACATACTCCACCCCATCGTGACTGAACAAACTAAATAAGGTCTCCTATGTTACATCGCGTCAGACACATAAGGCGACCTATGAAGTCCGTCAATAAAGACGCTTCCAACTAAAACAAACCGTGGAGAATTAGAAGGGCACACTAGCCTAGTAAAAATACTATACTGAAAAAAAAAACATTTCTCTTCGCCGATCGGAGAAAGGTAGCGTGTCATGTTTGGTAAGATCATCGCCGACATAGTCCAGTCTGGATAAATAAACCCATAGGATGACAAAGTGAGTAGCCAGTGGTTCATCAGGCCCCTACTCCGTTTGCCCTCAACGTATTTTGACCAACCAAACCGTCTTGGCAGGCTTTCAATGTAAGTATAACTGGTAGGACTGGCCTACATAAGTGGCTCCCTAAACAGGACATGGAAACAGCAACGCCCCTCTCCCGAAATAATAAAGGTGGACCTGTGTATAATTCCGGAAAGGGCAAAATATTTCCGTGTCCTAACTCTAACAATAATCCAAATATAGAATTATACCGTTGCCCTAATCTTGGCCTTAACCCTGCCCTAAACCTTAACTCTGCAGTTAATACTAGTCCCCACCTTAATCCTAAACTGCATCCTGAACTGACTTGCCATTAATTTTAAATCTAGCCTCAAACCTAATCCTTAACCTAGCCCTAAACCTAACCCTCATTTTATTGGAAGATGGCCCAAGGCCACCCGTATTGCAGGTTGTTCCCGTTCTCATATAAGCCAGTCCTACCGTATTTAGAGTAAAAGGCCATCATAGGAGGGCATATGGTTTACTGTCAGAGCATGTTCTACCGGTTTGCAGTATTGAGGATACAACGAAATCCTCATCTAGATGAGCCTTGTATGAGGCATGGAAGAAGGAGGAATGTCGACTAAACGTTGTCAAAACTACCTTCCCTGTCATCCCAAGGGACAGCCTCGTCAGCAAGGTGGAAGTTCTCTAGCGTTGGTGGAGAAACAACGAAGGACTGTCTACAAAACACAACTCGAAGCTCCTCACATTTGCATAATCTGACCGCTAAACCCGTACCTAGGCCTTTGACTGGCCTCAACCTCCCAATCATCTGGCAATGATGAGATGGCTGATAAGACACGCTCCACCACGGAGTGTTTAGAAAGAGTAACTTGGCTGTGTTAGGAATTCGAAGGAAATAAAGGGCTCGTTATGCGGTGAGGGGCTAGAGTTGGAAACTAAAAAGTGCACGAATGCAATTCCGAATTTCTGGGAATCCCTCCTGATTCTGTTCGGAAAAGCCCAAATACAAGCCTTTTACTTTTCAAAAGGAGTCCATCTTTGACTGAGCTCTTAAGTCTCCTGATCTTGAGTAGCGTGGATGCCTGACAAAATGTCTATTGACGGCGCCCCTGCGCAAAAGATGTCACAAATTTTTCCCTTGAGAGAGAGAAAGAAAGATAGAAAGGGAGAAATAGGCCGTATCTTGAAAGTACCCTTCGAAATTTTCTGCAAAAAGGGTTCTGCTCACTGTGGACAGAAGGTAAATTCATACTGACCCAACTGTGAAAAACTCGGCGCCTCGGTAGGATTCGAACTCACGCAGTAAGGAGGAGGCTTTAGTACAGCCAACGCTCTAACCACTTGAGCTACGAGGCCCCGCCGGACGACTCGAGTTTAAAACCTTCTCCTTACTGCGTGGGTTCGAATCCCACCGAGGCGCCGAGTTTTTCACTGTTGGGTCAGTATGAATTATTCAAAATCTTCCAAAATACCTAAGAAGATAAATCAACAACTTACGCAAGAGTCAAAAGGTTTACTTGAAAATGAGCCTCTATTTCGGGGGCAGATCAAGTCTCAGCTTCTGCTTCGCCGTATGCGGCTGGAGGACTTCTCACCACGTAGTTCAGAATGAAGGCGATGGAGAGCATCATCAAGAATCCGATCAACAAATTGCTTGACCGTTTTGAAACGTCACTGTATTATAATATCGGCCAAAAATATATATAGCAAACACCAGCATCAGAAGAGAACATTCGGATGACTCGTTTTAAAATTAACATATCCTTTTTTAAGCAAAGCAGGAAAGATAGCGAGGGAACCATAAAGAATGAGAGGGTGCATGCGGACATCTATAAATCTGCAAATTAGCGGTTGAGGTGCGTGCGATAAAAACGTAAACGACGGATGTAACAAAGAAAATTATGAATTTTAAGGAAAAGAGTCTCAATAGGAAGGGAGAATGAAAGATTTGGTGTCGAGGTAACGCCAAGCTACCGGAAGG